AACACGCGATTCGAACTAGAGCTCACGAACTGTATGTAAGCGCACAAACCATCTGGGATAGCTTATCTGGCATGCCTAATAACCTTGTTCTTTTCTTGTTGACCGAGATAGATAAATCTAAGAAAAAACACAACTCCTTCACTCTTTGGTTCTTCTTTGTTTTTTTATGCATGACTTCCACTCGGGTTTCATTTTTCCTTTTCTTTTCACAAAATAAAAATATTAGTATTTCTAAAAATGATAAAGAAATTTCACCAAAAGTTCATATCTTTCAAAATTACTCATAATGTCAAAATACACACATTTTTCAAAAAGAGTCAACAAAATTTTGAACACATTTAAAGAAAACAGTAACTAAATTTGAATTCCAGAAAACAGAAAAAACGAACAGAAAATGAAACCAATTTTTTTAAAATTTCCCTGGACATCTTTTTGTATTTGTGCAGTTCTTTTTAAACATGAATATTTTTATATTATGAATAACTTTGAATGCATGAAGATTATTTGAAACTCCCTGAACATTATTTCAATCTGTCGACAAATTTTGAAAAAGGGGACGTGTTTTAATTTGTGAAGAAAATTTTAAAACGGGCACATTTTGTCGGATTTCGGGTTCCACAAACCCTTGAGAGGTTCGAACTCTGGGGTGCATGCAGTGATCTCAACCTACCCAGCCTGACAATTCGCAAACCTCACAGCCTATCGCGTCGAGCTCGAAGGGAAAGAAAGACACGACAATGTACCCAGGTTCGGGCCATCTTGCGGTGTAAAACCCTACTCCTGTTTTGTGGTGGATTGCCTCGAGGGGCTTAGGAAGAACTAGTACAGTGGAGAACAGCCTTAGGAGGCGTGTTCTTAAGCTCAAGTGAGCTGGTGAGGTGGAGAGGGTGGAATAGATTCGATCCCATCCCATGGTGGTGGCTAGGTCCTATTTATAGTGGCCTTCGTCCTCTTCCCATATGTAGGTGGGAAGGGATCCCACGACAGCCAAATTTGAAGGGAGACAACAGGTACATCTTATCCTGACTAAAGCGGTCTTCGCCTACAAAAGCCTCTGGTTGTGACGCTGCGGTGGGCTCGGTGGTGACCTCTGTCCTGCCGTGTTGGCGGTCTTGGTCTTGTTGCATTAGAATGGAAATCTTTGGTTGATTTCTCGGGACTCCATTCCTGTTGCTTGCCTCCCTTGCACCGAAGAGGAAACTGGTACTCTGCGCCCACTGGCGCCCGCCTGTCCTTGGTCGTCATGGCTCACGTCAACCGAACCTCGCGAGGTGCACCTTGCATAGAAATCTCCGCTCCTCGGGAGCCAGCCTGGGGAGGCCGATCCCCTTGAAGGTCTTGGCGTCGTCCGCCTCGCGAGGCTTGACCCCTCGCGAGGGTCTTGAGTTGTTGATGCTAAAGCTGGGCCGTACCAGGGCGTCAATGGAGCCACGTCGTGGGCCGCAGGCAGGCAAGTCTGGGTACCCCCGTATCCAGAACGCTGGCACATTTTAAAAATATGACCAAAATTTGGAAAAGCAAACAGTTTTAAATCCGTGAACAATTTTTTTTAAATGGGAATACCTTCCAAAAATCAGAACAAAATCTGACAACGTGAACATTTTACCAAATTTATGATTTGTTTTTGAAATGTGAACATTTTTTATTTTTGTACATTGATTAGAAAATATGAACAAAAATTGAAACCAAAACAAGATTTGAAAATTCTGAACATTTTCCGGATTTTTAACATTTATTAATGAATATGAAAAATAGGACACTTTAAACATTCTTTTTTTCTGAAACAATGCAAATAAATAAATAAATAATTGAGCAAAATTTGAAGAACATGAAATATTTGGATATTCTGAACAAATTTTGAAATTTGAAATTTTCTAATTTATGAGAAATATAAACAGAAAAAAAAAATGAAAAGTCAAATATAACAAAAAGGAAAAAAGAAAGAGAAAAAAGTAAACTAGAGAGTTGATAAAAAGAAGAGAATAAAATGCGGTTCACGACATCCTAGTAGGTTCTCAAAACTGGAAAAAGCGGCAAGAAAGCTGAGGTTCCCAAAACCGGGAACGTTTCTTTGCAACTATTTTAGTAATGTCTTTTTGAAAATTTGCAAAAAAAATTCAAATCCATGTATATATTAAAAACAACTGATGAACTTTTTCAAATCCGGGAGCCCTTGGGCTGGCCCAACGTGTGCCCGACAGGAGGGATGTCGTCTCCTAGTTGGGTTAAGGCATAAGCGTTTTATTTTATTTTCTACTTTTCTATTTTTCTCTCTCTAATGTGTTAATTCATTTTCACCTTTTTGAATACCAAAATATAAGTTATAATTAACTATTTTAAATAATAATTTTAAATTATTTCTTCTGTAAAATGTTTATGAATTTATTTTAAAAGAAAGTATTTACTATTTTCAAATTTATCCCTTTGTATTTATTAGTTATGTTAAAAATCAAAATAAGAGTTTTAAGTATCTGATCAAACTATGATTTCAAATACTTTTTTTCCTTCAAACCTGGCATGGACGACTACCATGGACATGCCCACCGGCTAGCAAAAGTTGGAATCATTTCAAGATTGTTCAAAAAAACACCATGTTAAATGTAGGGTGTCCGGGTAGGCCAGAAGGCTCAAAGTCCATCATATGACCCCAATTTTTTATTTACTTGTAGGAGCAATTCAAGGCATCATGCTAAGTTATCTTGGTTTTCTACAATTTTGCATCTTCTGTAGTTTTCTCGGTAAAACGGGAGATAGGTAGATGTGTCGCAACTCAAATATGGTGTCGAAAATCCTTCAAACCCGCATGGATTTTTAATGTGGTCATGCCCACATGCTTGTATAAGTTGGGCTCATTTCATGGGTGTCCACAAAAACACCATGTTCAATGGAAGGTATTTGGGTAAGGACAGAAGGGCCCGTCTGAGAGCACGTTGTTTTTTGACATCTTTGAAATGGGCCTAATTTTTTCCATGGTCTATTATGACCAATTCAAAGCAACATGTTAAGTTATTTTGGTTTTCGACAAATTCTGCATTTTCTGAAGTTTTCTCACTAAAAAAGCCGTTGAATAGCCGAACGTGTCGCAACTTTCATACAGTGTCAAAAATCGTTCAAACCTGGCATGGTTGCCTACCATGGGCATGCCCACCTGCTTGCAAAAGTTGGGGTCATTTCAAGAATGTCCAAGACTAGGCCATATTTAAAGGAGGGTGTTGTTTCTCGACATCCTTGAATTGACCCTCATTTTTTTATTGCCTTGTATGACCAATCCAGGGCACAATTCCAAGTTATTTTGGTTTTTTGACAAAATTTTAATTTTCTAGAGTTTTCTCGGTAAAAAAGGTAGATAAATTGCCAGATGTGTCGCAACTTGCATATTGTACCGAAAGTCATTTAAATCTGACATGAATGCCTGCCATGGGTATGTTGACCAGCTTGCAAAAGTTGGGATCATTTGAAGGATGTTCAAACAAAGATCATGTTCAATGGATGGTGTCCGGATAGTCCAGAAGGTTCCGTCTAATAGCGTGTTGTTTCCTGACATCATTTTTTTCATCGCCTTGTCTGACCAATTCAAGGCACCATGCCAAGTTATTTTTGTTTTTGATAAATTTTGCATTTCCTGAAGTTTTCTCGGTCAAAAAGGGCCAATAAATGGATGGACGTGTTGCAACTTGCATACGGTATCAGAAATTTTTCAAACCAGGCATGACTACCATGGGCATGCCCACCTGCTTGAAAAAGTTAGGATCATTTTAAGAATGTAAAAACTAGACCATGTTAAATGGAGGGTGTTCGGGTTGGCCAGAAGCCTCCATCTAAGAGCATGTTGTGCCTCCACATCCTTCAATTGGACAATTTTTTTTTTCAATGAAGCACCATACGAAGTATTTTGAGTTTTTGACAATTCTTGCATTTATTGGAGTTTTCTCGATGAAAAATGACCGATAAATGATGGGGCATGACCGAACTTGCATGCGGTGTCGGAATTAGTTAAAATATGACATGGATGCATGCCTATCATAGGCATGCTCACCTACTGAAAAAAAATAGGATCATTTCAGGCATGTCCAAAATAGACCATGTTCAATGCAGAGTATCCGGATAGGTTAGAAGGATCCATTTGAGAGCATATTTTTTCAGCATCAAATGACTCCTTTTTTTACATGAGCTTATATGAGTATAGGTGACCTCTTAGGCCTTGGCCCAACTAGGCCGTCGTACGCATGTTAGTATACTCCCGAAGGATGTAGTATTTATTGGTTAGTTAAGCGTATAGGTGCTCGGTTGGAATCTTGTCAGCACTTTCTTTATTAGGTTTTACAGAAGAGGAAAAAAGTGGGAAATGGGCCGGCCCGGTGTGATATGTATGCAGGCAGCGTATCATGCTCGGCGCGCGCGATGAAGTTTTAAAAAATAAATCATCCTACCCTTTATTATGATGAAGGAGTAACGAAAGATCTCATTTGTTGATGTGTTTAGCGGGTGTACTGAAGCAGAAGTGTAAATATTTACTTGCTAGAACCCTGAGCAGCTAGTTGACCATGCACTAACAAATACAAGAAATAACTTAATTAATTAACTTCCTTTTTTTTTGAACCCTGCAAGAGAGAATTGCATGTGATCATTATATAGAAGAAGAAAAGAGTGCAGATGTCTTAGAGATACAACAAAATTCAAACCACCATACAAACCAAACATGAGAGCGAGATGATAGAGGCCTAAACAAACAGATTTTCAAGACATAAAGCCCCAGCCTTATAAACCAATCATGCGCCGCCGATTTGATGAGGTCTAACAAGCGGTCACCCGACGAGAACTTAACTTCAAAACTTCTGTTGTTGGGCTCGTTCCATAAGAGCCAAGCGACCAAGAACTGAATGAACTTCTCCTATCAACAACTAATTAAATGACTGATAGCATTTGACTACTATTGTCAACAACAAGACCGAAGCTTATAAGGCTCTAACGGAGTAATGATCAGACCCTACGGAGCTTAGTTAGAGCCTGAGAGTCAAGTCTACCGTGTTGGCGATCTCCTCCTCTTCTTGCTTCGCTTCACTATGATCGCCGCCGTTGCCACTGCCACTGCCACTGCCACCACCCCACTGGATCGCGGTCATCGACGTCGTGCGAGGGGAGGCCGCCGGGATGAGGGCCCTGGGCGACGCGCCATAGCTGTAGGCCTCCGCCCGCGGGTACATCGGGCGGCCGGTGCCGGCGTGACGGGTGAGCCCGGCGAGGGACGGCTGGGCCGCCGGGCCCCACCCGGGGAGGTTGGGGTGCATGTGCATCCCGTAGAACGGCGCCGCGACGCCGAGGAACGACCTGCCGGTGGCGGAATAGGGCCAGGCGTTGGGGAAGCGAAGGTGGTGCGGCACGAGTGGGCCGCCAGGGCCGGCGCCCCGCCCCGCAGCGACGCCCTTGGCGACGGAGCGCTCGCGCTTGTGAGCGTTCTGGTGGCCGCCCAGCGCCTGCGACGTGTAGAACTTGCGCGGGCAGTAGTTGCACTTGAACACGCGGCGTTTCTCGCCGCCGGCGACTGCCACCACCGACGAAGGCCCGGCCGCCTCAGTGGCCTCACTCGACTTGGCCTTTCCCTTCTCCGCCTCCGCCACGGCGTTCGCCTCAGCACCGACAGCGCCGAGGAGGTTTAGCTCCAGGGTCGGCGCCGGCTGCACCTCCTCATTGGCGACTTGCACCACGTCCATGGACGCGGTTTGGATTTGGTTTTTCTTGGCACACGAGTTGAGTTCTTCTTGGATGGGATCTGTGCGAGCCTACTTATACAAGGCCGGAGATGATCTGAGAGGAATGCAAGTTCACTTGCCAAATTTGAAGATCGCATGAGATATTGAGATCACAGGCTGGCTGGGTTTAATGTGGTCGAGATCACGGACTTAATTCGTAGTAATCTTGGCGAGCACATCTCAATCCTCTCTCTCACTCTTCCCTGGACGCGTCCATGCACACTCAATGCTTCCCATAATTGGAGTAGATTTAACGTTTCGAGTTTTCAACTTATGTCGTCACGTAGGTTCTCATCAGATGCCTAATGGCGGACTGGAACTTATTGTTTCCCCTTTTCAGTTTTACGAGGATCGTTACGAATTTATTGGGTACTTAATTGACATGGATATGGAGAAGGATTTGGTATATGCTATAATTGGCACCAAGGTACCCCAGAGAACATTTTCGGGTCCCATATGTTTGAATGCATCCATTTAATTTTTCTCCACATATACACATAGGTTTTGACTAATCGGCATCCTGCTTAACTAGTTGTTACATGCTTTGATGCATATCATGGATCACTATACTTGGTGTGCTCAACCCTTTTGGTCTCTATTTTTACTATTCTAGTAACTAACCCAGTGGCCTTCGCAAATGCCAGAGCATCATCTTCAGTATGCTCAAACTGATCGTGGATAAACATATGCTCTCAGGGAGGTTCATATTACACGGAATGTACTTTCTTGCGCTATATTAGTGTGTTTAGGTAGAATTATGACATTTTGTTGTTTATTTATCTATTTTCACTTTTGTTTTCCCCTCTCTTTTTTCCTGTTTTCCTACACCTTGTTGTTGCACTTTTATTTTTGGAAAATACGCAAATGAAGTGTCTAAAACAACAAATTAGACGAAAATTTGGCAAAATGTATGGGCTTGGGGAGGTTCATATTACATGGAATGCATTTTCTTGTGCTATATTAGTCTGTTTAGGTAGAATTATGACATTTTGTTGTTTATTTATCTATTTTCACTTTTGTTTTCAGTTTGTTTTCCCTCTTTTTTCTGCTCCCCTACACATTTTTTATTGTACCTTTTGCTTTGGAAAATATGCAAATGAAGGTTCTAAAGAAACAAATTAACATACCAAAAACTATAGAATTGAAAATTGAAATTAATATATCACAAGAAAATACATTAGTCGTACTTCTATTATAATGGCAGACTTGAACTTATTTTTAAGAGGATCGGTAGAAATTTATTTGGTAGTTAATTGACATGGATATGGAGAAGGATTTGGTATGCTATAATTGGCACCAAGGTATCCTGAGAGAAAATTTCCGGGTCCCGTATGTTTGAATGCATCAATTTACTTTTGTCCACACATATACATAGGTTTTGACTAATCGGCATGCCGCTTAGAGCATCTACAGCCGTGGACACCAAATTCAGGCCCTCAAACGCCCGCGGACGCGCCCAGGCGCGTTTGCGTGCATTGACCGGGCAACCCTCAAGTTTCGTTCTATGCATCCGAATTACTCATACTTGAAACCTTAAATCCATATAAAGCATGCAAAAGAGAAAAAACCCATATACTACTACGTAAATCAACCAGAACCTACACTGCCCTACTCCTTGTCAAAGATGCCCACGATCTTCGTGCTCGGCTCCGGGTACATGGGCAGCAGCTGCAACTCTGGCACATGCGGCACCTCCGTGTCGGCCTTTGCCTCCTCCTCCGTGTCCAGTTTGGCAGAAGACGGTCGCCGCCCATTCTTGCCGGATGAACCACCAGTTGGCTTCGACATATGCCTCATCCTGGATGGCGTAGCGGTCTGCTACGCCATCTCCACCACTTGGGCGACCTCGAACTCCGCCAGGGTGTCCTCCATGGCAAAGTCCGCAACCGGCTCCGGCTCCTCCTCCTCCTACTCCATGGGCTCCGATTGCTGCTCCAGCGAATTTAGAGGCAGGTCCGCTGTGATCCGAACGGTCCGCCTAGCCTAGATCTCCTCAAGCATCTGGAAGCGCTGCTCCGACGTTAGCATAGTGTAGGTGGTCTTCTTCTGCCCGGCCATGGCGGATGGCAAGGGAAGAGGGGAAAGAAGCAGATGGGCTCGGGCTGCCAACACGGAAGGGAGGAAGCGGATGTGGCTAGGGCTGGGGGACGTTGTACGGCTTAAGTAGCCGGACCTTGACCCTCGGGCGGCGAGCTGAAGCGGCGCCACATGGTGTTAACTGTTGGAATATGCGTATAGTAGACGTGTAGTAGAAGTTGTATAGAGATAGAGTTGGTTTAAATTCTGTATTCTGTTCTATCTCTTCTTCTGTCTTTCACGATCCTTCTGTAACGACTTGATAGATCCCATCTGATCGATCTCTCCCCCTGTAAACTTGTGTGCCAAGGCTTCTGCCTAATATATACATGCGGCCCGAGACAAAGGGTTCTACGCTTCCCAAACCACTTTTACATGGTAACAGAGCCTCTTCCTCATCCAATCGAGAGAGATTGCATCTAGCTACCATCGCGACCGAGAGTATGTCCACCACCATCGCAGCCATGACCCCAAGTACCATGGGTGCACTCACCACCACCTCATCCTCTACTTTTGCATCATCTTCCTCCTCCACCCACAACACCACCTCTCTCGGATCGCCCCCACAGGAGAAGCTGACGCGGGGCAATTTTTTGCTCTGGAAGGCCATAGTGCTCCCGCAGATCAGAGGCGCCCAGATGGAGCACCACCTCGACGCGACGAGCCCACCACCACCCGCCACCCTCACCATCACCACGGAAGGCAAAGAAGAACAAGTCGTCAACTTTGCAAGATCCCTCTGGTATGCACAGCAGCAGCAACTCCAAGGATACCTAATGGGTTCACTTTCCCGTGAGATCCTTGCCCAGGTCGCCACGCTCCAGATGCCGGCTGAGGTGTGGCGCACCATCCATGCCATGTTTGCTGCACAAAGCCAAGCCCAAGCGATAAACACTCGCATCGAGCTCACCAACCTCAAGAAAGGTAACCTATCCATGGCTGATTATCTTGGTAAAATAAAAAGTCTCACTGATGAGGTCGCAAGCACGGCTGCGACCCTCTCTGATCCGGAGATTGTCTCCAAAATCCTTGCCGGCTTGGACATGGAATACAACCCGGTGGTCTCTGCACTTGCTGCCCGGGTGGAACCCATCACCGTCCAAGAACTATACATCCAACTGCTCTGTTTTGATGCCCGGCTAACTCTGCTCCATGGCGGCGACCTTCGGCAATCCTCTGTCAACTCCGCCTCTCGTGGTCGCGGCCGTGGGCGCGGTCACCAGGGGCAGCGCGGCGGTGGGCGCGGACGCGGCGCCTCCTTCCCTGGCGATGGCGCACGCTCTGGTGGCGGGGACGGCTACAACAACAGCGGCAACAGCGGCGGCTTCAACAACAACAACGGCCGCCGCGCTCCTTCCCGCCCGCGACCTCGATGCCAGCTTTGCAAAAAGTCTGGCCACGAGGTGATTGATTGCTGGCATAGTTACGAGGAGGACTTCGTGCCCTCAGATCGCCACGTTGCTGCCGCCATGCGTGAGCAGGCTGGAGATGGCGTCTGGTACGTCGACTCCGGTGCTACGGATCATGTGACGAACGAACTCGAGCAACTTGCTCTACGCGAGCGCTATCATGGCGCCGATCAGATTCACACTGCTAGTGGTGGAGGTATGTATATTTGTCATATTGGTCAAAGTTCTATTAATTCCCCTACACTTAAACGCGATCTTGTTCTTAGAGATGTGCTTCATGTTCCTCAAGCTGACAAAAACCTTGCATCAATGTCTAGACTAGCCACCGACAACAATGTCTTCTTTGAAACTCACCCTCGTTATTTTTTCATCAAGGATCGGGCAACGAGGGAACTACTTCATCACGGTAGATGCGTTGGAGGGCTCTACCCTATTCCATCCGGAGCACTAGGTCGCAAGCGTCGTCACGTCTACTCCGTCATCAAGCCCTCTTTGGCACGGTGGCATCAACGATTAGGGCATCCATCTTCGATCAATTTCAAACAAATAGTCAATAAAGACAAACTTTCTTTGTCTCCTAGTTCAGTTTGTGAGTCTGTCTGTGAAGCCTGTCAATGTGCCAAGAGCCATCAGCTTCCTTATCCCAAGTCAACTAGTGTGTCTCATGCTCCATTAGAACTTATTTTCAGTGATGTATGGGGCCATGCCTGAGATTCTTTTGGTCAGAAAAAATATTATGTCAGTTTTATCGATGATTATAGCAAGTTCACTTGGATTTATTTACTTCGATATAAATCTGAAGTCTTCTCTATTTTCCAAGAGTTTCAGAAACTTGTTGAGCGCCAATTTGACAGAAAAATCCTCGCCGTCCAAAGTGACTGGGGAGGGGAGTATGAGAAACTTCACTCTTTTTTCCGCAGTATTGGGATTGTCCATCATGTATCTTGCCCCCATGCTCATCAACAGAATGGCTCTGCTGAGCGTAAACACCGCCACATCGTTGAAGTTGGTCTTTCTCTGTTAGCCCATGCTTCTATGCCTCTCAAGTATTGGGACGAAGCTTTCATTACTGCCACCTATCTTATCAATAGGCTCCCTAGCAAAGTTATTGGAAACACTACTCCTTTAGAGCGTCTCTATCATCAAAAACCTGATTACAACTATCTCAAGATATTTGGGTGTGCTTGCTACCCAAATTTGCGTCCCTACAACCGTCATAAACTTGAGTTTAGATCCACACAGTGTGTCTTTCTTGGCTATAGTAATCTTCATAAAGGTTATAAGTGCCTTGAAATCTCTACCAGACGCATCTATATTTCACGTGATGTTGTTTTTGATGAGACACTCTTTCCGTTTTCCAAATTGCATCCTAATGCCGGCGCCTTGCTTCGTGCAGAGATTGCCCTTCTCTCTGATCCCGCAACTGTTGGGGAACGTAGTAATTTCAAAAAATTTCCTACGCACACGCAAGATCAT